AGCTACTGGGGGGGGGGCTCTGCCACGTCTGGCCTGCTGGAAGAAAAACATTCTTCCAGCACAGACAGAGGACTTGGGGGTGGGCAAGGGCTTGATTGGCCTTCTTGCAGGGCCTCCCCGTGAGTCCTCTTGCAGGTTCTTAGAGGAGAAGGGAACAAGTCAGGGGTCATTTCCTGCGAGAGTGCACAGGAGCGGAGCTCCGGCAATAAGGAGCCCAGGGGGCGGGCACATGCAACAAGCCCCACCCCCTGCTCGTTCACTGCGTGCAAGTTCATCTAGAATTTCGTCAGACAGCCCTTCAGTATACTGGTCAATAAACGCTGCCTCATTCCATGTCAGGTCTTGAGCCAGCAGCTGGAACTCATTGGTGTACTGAGCGACAGAGGTTTTATGCTGAGTAAGAGCCCTTATTTTGCGGTTAGCTGTTTCAGCTTTCACAGGATTGGCATAAGCAGCGGCAAAATGAGCCTTGAAAGCCTGGAAGTCAGATAGTAAGGGAGAATTCCCCACCAGCAAGGGCGTGGCCCATTTGGCAGCTTGCCCTTTAAGGAGGCTTAAAATGAAACAAACTTTAGCCTTCTCAGAAACAAAGTCCCGAGCCCTGAGCTCAATATACAGATTACATTGGGCAAGGAATGCCTGGAACTCATCAACATTCCCACCGAAACGATCAGGAGGATTTATTGGGCAACGTGGGGGAGGTGTACCAGCATTTGCTACAGCAACAGCATTTGTAGCAGCCTGTTGTTGCAAAGCAATCACAGCTTGAGTTAAGTGCTGTACCTGTGCTAGCATTTCCTCCATGGGGTCCACACCTCCGGTTGCTCCGTCTTCCATGGTGGGGATGTGTGAGCGTTGTGGGTGCTGGCAATCTGTCACGGCAGGACCAGGGGGCGTGACACAAGCAAGCAAAAGTCCAGGAACAGTCCGAGGTCAAGCCGGGCAAATCAGGTAGCAAGGTTCAAGCAGGTTTAAATCACAGTCCAAAAGCAGGGTCAGACATACCAAAGTTTCAAGTCCATAAATCACAACAATACCAGAGGAGTCAGAGATGAACGCAGGGTCAACAAAGCCAAAGGTCAAAAGCCGAGGATCAAGCCGAGAAGAATTCCACAAGGTCTGGAGCAGAGATGCAAGGATTCAGGTCCTGAACAAACGACGTTGCCAGCACAAATGACTGCTGGCAACAGACTTGCATATATACAGTGCTAGCTAATCAACTCATTAGCTAGCCAGGAGTGAGGACAGGATCCTGTCAGTAATCAGGGCTAAGAGATCTTCTGGCACGCATGCGTGCATTCTGCCTTTGCTCTCTCAGCTGTTGTCTTCTTACATTCCTGAGCCTGGTTACAGGTGGAGGCGAGTCTGATGATGAATTACTGGGCTGCAGCAGAGACTGATCCCTTGCAGGTGTTCCCTGGGAGGCTCTATCCTCCTCACCACTTAGATAGCTTTCAGCTACAGGATCCAGTCTTTGCCTTTCTGCTGCAGTACTGTCCTCAGGAGCCTGTTCAGGGTCCTCAGAAGCCTGTTCAGGGGCATCAGCAGGGGCAGGCATGACATCAGCAGGGGCAGGCATGACATGCCTCGCATTTGAGGAGGCAGAGCCCCGAATGCTCCGCCATACCCAAGGGCACCTTGTGGGGGGCTTTGGCCAAGGTTGAAGCTGTGCCGATGCCGTCTACCAAATCCTCATGGGAAAGGAAACAGGGCCCAGCTTCTCTCATTTCTTGAGAGTGTGCAGAGGAATCCATGGCGGGGCCGGTGGAAGTCACAGATCAGGGCTGCTTTGTGAGCCAGGCGAACCCCTTTCTACTGCCACTATTCACAGACAGTGACAGAAAGCACACTTCTGGACACACTGCCGGCTCTCCCAGCATTCTTTCACACTCTGGCCATGCCCAAGGTGGAGACAGCCAGTTTGGTGTCGTGGTTAAGAGTGTCAGACGAGTAACCCAGAACACCCGGGTTCAAATCCCCACTTGTGCCTTGGAAGCTCGCTGGGTGACCTTGGGCCAGTCACACTCTCTCAGCCTTGCCTACCTCACAGGGTTGTTGTGGAGGATAAAATGGAGGAAAGGAGAATGATGTAAGCCACTCTGGGTTCCCACAGGGGAGAAAGGTGGGATTAAAATAAATAAATAGTAATAACAACTGAGGACAGGCCTATGCCTGGTACTCAGGTACTGCCTCTGAGCTGGGTTCCTTTTGTTCGGAAAACTTACACATACGTGGACACACGAAGCTGCTGCATACTGAATCAGACCCTACGTCCATCAAGGTCAGTACTTACTCCATCTGGCAGTGGCTCTCTGAGGTCTCAGGCAGAGGCCTTTCCCATTACCTACTATTAGCTCCTTTTAATGGGAGATGCCGGGTATCAAACCTGTGACCTTCTGCATGCCAAGCCCATGCTCCACAACTGAGCCATGGCCCCTCCCCGAAGAGACACTCTTTGAAAACTGGGGAAAGGGGGTGAGAACCTCCACATCCCTACTGCATCAACTGCTGGTCAAACACAACTGGCCTTTAGTACTCCTTCGTATTTATATATCATGCTCAAAGCACTTTAAATACTTGCTAGTCCACACAACTGTGCATTTTCAAATGAAAACAAGATGTCAAAAGACCAACTCAGAATGGGGGAGATCCATTCCCAGCTGTTGCTGTCTTAGCACTTAGAAGGGGTAAATGCTCCCCGTAATGGGCTCACCACATTCGAAACTCTACTGAGTCCCTCTTCTGATTTGCCTACACTAGAATTCTGTACACTTTTTTTTCTGAATTAAAATTGGGAAGACACTGGTGCACCCCAAGAGATGCATTTTTAGGGTGCAAGGGGGGGGGGAGTACAACCAATGTTAATTAATAACAACACAGATTAACAGAACGAAGTCTGAGTCCAGTGGCACCTTTAATTCTGTGTATAAGATTTTGTGCGCGCGCACTCTTCTTCAGATCCATTGAAACAGACTTTGCCAGTCATTACATATAGCGGTGGGGGGTTAGTTGGCAGGAAGGGCTAACTGGAGTCAAGATGCAACTTGACTCCAATTAGCTTTTCCTGGCAACTAACCCGCCCACCTACATGTAGCAGCTGAAAGTTTGTATGTAACATGAAAGTTTATACCCAGAATTAAATGTTGTTAGTCTTAAAGGTGCCCCACTGGACTCAGACTTTGTTCTGTTGCTTCAGACCAACACAGCTACCCACTTGAATCTATCAACACAGATCAACTACTTTCTTCTCTAGAGGAGTCCACTCTAAAGGTATCAGCAGAGGCAGGAGAAATAATGCCAGATATACCAGACAATCGGGATGTGATGCCAAAGTAAAAGAGGATTTTCTTCTAATTTAGTCAGTGTCACCTTTAGCAAGGCTGATCTTTGACTCTCTCTACCCTTGGCCCAAAGTCCAAACGGAAACCCTTCTCCCTACTTAACATGGGACATAATTCTCCTGGAAGCTTTCCTGTGTGTGTCCGGTAAAAAGGTAAAGGTAAAGGTTCCCTTGCTCGAAAGCCAGTCGAATCCGACTCTAGGGTTGCGGTGCTCATCTCCGTTTCAAAGCCGAAGAGCCAGCGCTGTCCGAAGACGTTTCCGTGGTCATGTGGCCAGCATGACTAAACACCGAGGCGCACGGAACGCTGTTACCTTCCCACCGAAGTGGTACCTATTTATCTACTTGCAATTTCTTGCTTTCGAACTGCTAGGTTGGCAGGAGCTGGAACTAGAGACAGGAGCTCACCCTGTCTTGCGGCACCCGGGTCTTGAACCGCTGAACTACTGACCTTCCACAGCCTGCAGTTCAGCGTCTTAACCACTTGAGCCACCGCAGCGTGTGTCCGGTAGCGCCTTGTTAATTTCAATGAAGCTCACCGAGGAGGACTTCCCAGGGCTCTGCCCTCCTCTGCTGTCATTAATCGATTGATATGCTTCATTTATATGTCACTTTTCTCTCCAATGGGAACCCAAAGCACCTTACATTGTTCTCCTCTCCTCCGTTTTATCCTTACAACAACCCTGTGAGGTAGATCAAGATGGGTCGCCATGTTAGTCTTCCCGTAGCAGTAGAAAAGAGTCAGCGTCCAATAGGACCTTCAAGACTAACACAATTTGTGGCAGGAGAGGAGCTGTTGTGAGTCACTGCTCATGAAAGCTCCTACCCTGCCTGCCACAAATTTTGTTAGTCTTGAAAGTCCTACTTGACTCTGGCTCTTTTCTGCTGTGAGGAATGTTCGGCTGAGAGCCGGTGAGTGGCCCAAGGTCCCTCAGAGAGCTTCCATGGCACATGTGGGGATTCAGACCTGGGTCTCCCAGATCCCAGCCCCCCACCGCTCTAACCACTAGACTACACTGGCTTAATGGTGCTTCCACAATCTACTCAGTGTGTGTTGGTGTCAAAAGGTGGGAGAGATTTTTTTTTTATTTCCCTTCACTTTCATTTGTTAGAGACATTTACTTCCTCCTTCTCTCCTGGGATTAGTAAAGATGTGCTAGCTGGCATGGTGTCACAGTGCAAAGGACCCCAAAGGAAAGCCCACACTTCGGGAAAGGGAGCGAGCTCATCACAATTTGCACCTCTTTTGCAAGCACAGCCCTTGACAAATAGCTATAGCAGACCTGGGCTACAAATGAGGAGGAG